ACTCTTTCCTGGGGAAAACAGCCTGGTCTACCTGCACTTAACAGCAGAAATCCCACTGATTCCTCAGATCCCGACCTTTGTAGCAGCCTAATCTTGGGATCACTGGATTTTCTGGGCACTTGCTACTCACGTCTGTGACGTTCACCACCCCGATCTGTGGTCTGAACAGGTCAATCTTGAAGGTCTTCTCCCAGTAAGTGATCAGCTGTGGGAGTGAGAAACAAAGCTCAGGCAAGGGTGTTTGCAATACTGCGTCGCATTACCTCAGCCGGCTGGGCTGTGGTGCAGGGAGCGTGCATTGATGGGTACACGGGAGAGAAGAGAGGCTGAACACAAGCATGGGCTGCCACACACAGCAAAGGAAAGTGCCGACTCTGAGGATGTTCCCAAGACAACACCTTCATGGGAGGCAGACCTGAAGGAGCAGCTTGGGGATTGCCTGTGGTCTGGTTTCATTTCCTTCCCTGTCCCAAATTCCCATGGGCAATTCTTGTGCTTGTGCACACACACACCAATCCATGAATTAAACCAAGAAAGACAAGGAGCCCCTGCCACTCACCAGAGGAAAGTCGTCGGGGTCAATCCAGACAATGCTGAGGTCGGGATTATCGGTGTTGTCCCTGGCAACCTGCTTCAGGATTTCCAGGAACTCAAAACCATCTGAAATGATACACAAACCACTGCAGCTCCCTCCTAAAAACATGCAGGCACTCTTTGCTTGTGGGTTTTTCAACTTCCCTCACCCCTCTATGCACACAGGAGTTGTTTATAGTTCTCATTAAAATGCTGTCTCCCAGCTCTTTCTTCTGATAATAAGGCTTTTAATTTTGAGCATCCTCCCTGGGTATTGAAATTAGTTACACATGAATTAAGTCTCGTAATCCTTCCATGGAGTGGAACGATGTCACTATTTTCTTGTGGCGAGGGAGGAACTGAGCCCCTGAGAAGCCAAAGCTTTTCGGCACGCTGATGGCACTGAGAAGTACTGATGCCACAGCTTTTCAGGAGCTGATGCCCACAGGTTTCCTGCATGCCCATCACACACCCAGCCCTCAGCACTGTCCCAGAGCCACACAGCAAGATGGACGCAGAGTTAGGGAGAAAATCCTGGTGCTGGAGTGGAGACGATGACTCTCCTTTCCCAGCTGGCCATCCATTTATATCCAGAATTTGAATCCTAGCTGGCACAGCCGTTAGCATAAACACCCAGAAGCATCCCAGCTCCCTGTCCCAGCCTGGGCATGGGGCTCCCCGCAATGCAAAGAAAGAACATGAAACTACAATTTCTTGAGTGGCATAGAGTCACGCAAGGAGGAAAACAGCCTCTTACCTGGGTCATCTTCTTCAGCAAAGGCCACGATGTGGATTCCTTCCATGTCATCCTCCTGGAAACAACAAAACTATCACTGATGGGCCAAGGAGGGAGGACAGAGCCTGGACAGTTGCTGGAGATGAGGAGAGGTGGGATGCCTTCAAATGAATAGGAAATTGCAAAGGGAGGCTTGACTGGAGCCCCACCAAGACACAAGGAATGTCAGCTGAGGTGCGGCTGAGTTGTGGAGGTATTGGGCGCTGAAGTGGGTAGTTTTGGTAGCGTTGCTGAAACCCTTTAGATAAAAATGAGGTGAGCACCGTGATGGCAAGAGAGTTTCTGATGGTGCGGGGTGGGGCCCCTACAGAGAAGGCTAAGGGGTCTCTAGCATGAGAATATGGGCTCACCCTCCATGCCCAAGGCCACCTACCCTCATAAATTTGCAGCTGCCAGGGGATGGTTTGTGGGGCAACAAATATCTGCCACCATGCTCAGACCCAAAACACACTCCTCTGGGGCCAGCAAAGGAGGTTTCCTCACAATATGAGAGGTGAGGTGGCTCACTTGGGCACCTTTCGGGACGTGAAGGGTCTCTTGCTCTAGGTGAGGGTTTCCGTGAGCAGTGAGGGGAATTGAGTGGGAGGCTCATTTTTGGGCTCCAATGAGTGGAGGACAGCCTGGTGGACAGCCTGGTGGACTGCTTTTCTCCATGAGACACGTGAGTCATGGGTAATGATATTGGCAAAGGCCACTAGATCTGCCAGCTGGTTCATCATCCGCCTGCTATGAATGTCATCTCTGAATTATCCCACAGATCAGCTTCACCTTCCACACCCGCTGCCAGTCCCAGTTTCCATTTCAATTGGTTTTAATGCGAGAAAAAATTCCCATCTAAATGCTAATTTCTTTTCCCTTCTGAGCCCAGAGGTGACAAAGCCACCATCAAAAACTGAAAGGAAAAAAAAACCCTGAAAGATTAAGTGGAAAACATTATCTTTAAAAACAATAGTGGATGCTGGGCCTTTGCTGGTATCTTCAGGGAATACATGTTCATCAGGACATTCTAGGCAGATTTACTTGGGATTCAGACCACTTACAGCTGGCAAAATCCACACTGTTGCTTTTTCTCCGTATTTTCCAGCAGCATTGTCAGACAGCAAAATTAAAAAAAAAAATATGCGATATGTAATTATATATATAGCTATATAATATAGCTTATTCTCACCTCCAACACAGCAAAAAACCCTGGAGTAACTCCAGTGAAGGCACTGAGGATATTCTGAACTTGCAGCAAGATCAGAATCCAGCCCATCATCTCCTGCAGGTACGAGTTCCCTGCTCGTTCAGTGTGAATATGTACAGTATGAAAGCAGAACCACTGCATGAGAAATTTGGGTCCCACTAAAACCCCATGAAAAAATTTCAAGGGACTTCAGTGGATCAAGGAAGCTATCTTCTATACAGAATCTGCATTTCAAAACAAAATGAAAAGCTATCATGCTTAAGTGACTCATAACTCCTGGTTCAGTTTTATTACCTCTTGCCTTGTTGTATTAAAGACTCCCAAGGTTTTCGGTGCTTTGGCATCTCGCAGCGCTTCATGTTACACATCCAAGCAAGGAGGCAACTGAATGCTGTTATAAATGTGCCAAGCTTTTTGGAGGAATGACTGCATCTTCCTTAGAGTCTGTAAAGCACCTGTTCAGCTTTGTTTTCCAGAATTCAGCTGGCACTTGAAGGTCCCTGACTGACTATTAACATCATACTCATTCACAGCAAAGGGATAATTTGTTATACATGATTTTTCTTCCATTTTCACCCTTCCCCCTTTCCCCCACATTTGGAGACCAGGAGAGTCCTCTGCGTGTGATCAGTGCCAAACTGTTGGGTAGTTCTTCACAATCGCTGACTTGCAGCTTGCTCGCACCATGAGAAGTGCAATCAATGTAATCTGTGTCATTAACTGAACTGCCTGCCCTTGCTTGCATTTCGAATTGTACAACTGCTCTGGTACAATTTCCGTGAGTTCAGCACAATCTCCGTAGCTCACACAGCAAGCAAGCCCCTGAAGTCGGCCCACCACTAGCACTGACACCCATTAGGTGAGATGATAGAGCATCCTTGAGAAGGATGCTCTCCATAGCTATGCCATGCCTGCTACAGAGGCTCAACACCTGCCTGGCACGCTTGGTTAGCTTTCCCTGTTCCCTCTGTGGAGCAAACAGGGCTCAGCTCAGCTGTCCACCGCTGTTGGGCAAAGCATTTGAAACACCATTTGAACTTAGGCACTGAGCATCACAGCCAAGGATTTCCCTTCTTCCCACAGGAGAGAAAGTGGCTTTGCAAGGAAAGAGAGATAACATTTTGCCCAGCCAGAGGCTCGAGCTTTTGAGCAGTGGTTTCTTGTTGGAAGCTAGCAAGGGACGCATGGCTTCCCACCAGGCATGCTTACCCACGTCTCAAACATGTCCTCTGGGCGCAGTTTCCTCAAAGTGGCCCTGAAAGGAAGACAGAAATGCTCTTTGAGGACATGTCCAGCACCGTCACACATGACACTGCTGGCATCACGGAAAAGGTCACCACGGCACGTTTGGTTGGTTGCTGGAGTCAGCGTTGTCAGCCACCACATTTTGAATGGAAGCATGGGGGCACAGTAAGTCAACTTATGGTTTTATTTATGGTGATAAAACCCTGCCCTTTTCCCCACTGGAGTCACTGCAGCCGCTATTTGTGCTTGGGAAGATGAGATGTGTCTCTGTGCTGGGATATGCTGGTGACATAGTCCCACACATGGCAGATTGTTCTGTCCATGCTGAGAGCACAAGGTGACCCATTCACTTGTGTATTGCAGCCCCTGGAACATTCCAACTGGGCGTTGTTCCCCTTTTCTCCTGGTTTTACCCCAGCATAATTCCACCACAAAAACCTTTCCAAACTCTGCTGAAGCAAAGAAGACAGCATAACCTCTGGCAAGGAAATTTAGATCATCATAACTGCTGGCAAAATAATTTAAACCATAGGACTGGCCAAAGCAAATTTTTTTCGAAGTAGTTTATAAAGGACAAAAAAAAAGAATAGTAACTATTTCCAGACACATCCGTAGCAGGAAGCCTGTTAGAGAGCCTGGCTGGCTGAGAGGTGACTGGGGTGTTAAAGGGGCATCCAAGGAACACAAGGCCATAGCAGACAAGCACAAGTAACCCTTTGCACCTCTGCTCACTTGCATGAGGTGTTCACAGAGGCTCCCCCAGCAGCACAGGGCTGACTAGCCCTGGGAGCTGTCGCAAAGAGAAGTGTTGGTCGATGAGGTCCTAGAACAGATTGGTAAATGGAGTAGCAGCACGTTGCCAGGTCCAGGTGACATCAATGAAATGTGTAACCTGTCACTTTTGGTTTGCCTTGCTACCAGAGCAGTGGAAACAAGGAGCACATCTGGAGGTTTCTAAAGGACCTGAGGAGCTACAGATCTGGAAGGGCAGCTTCCTTATGGGCACGATGCTACCAGAAAAAGTAGAGTTAACAGACATTTGAAGGAATATGATGTGACAGCACAAGAGGTATATGACCTTTAAGAGGAAAATCATGGCCATGGATCCGCTGGAGTTTCCAGAGCAAGTCAGCGAATGGGTGAAGGTGTGCTGGTCAATGCAGTGAACTGCCTTCAGAGGACTATTTGACAAGCCTTACGAAAGGCTCTCCAAAAAACTGAGCTGCAGTTAGATCAGAGGAGGGGTCCTCGTGTGGATTAATGACACTGGAAGATGAAGGGTGGAGATGAAGGTCAGTTTTCACGGCAGAGGGAATTAACCAATTAAGATTCATAGCATATGCTTTAATATGATCATATGCATAACATATTCTCACATAGTCTGAAAAAGATGGAAAATAAGAATATGGCAGCATTTGCGTATCATATCCAATTGTTCAGATGGCCAACACCAGGCCTGACTACGAGGAGATACAGAGGGGTCTTCCTGAGACTTGAGTATCTGCATGATAGACACAAGAAGTAAGGCACTTGCAGAAAAACAACCCTAATTATACAGGTGGAACAATGGGTTCTAAACTAGTTATAATTAATTATTGCCTCTCGGGAAAGGGGCCCAGGTGTCACAAACTAAGAAAGCTTCAGCTCCAAAGTCAAAAGACAAGAAATAGTTTATAAAGGAGTAAAACACATCATACCATTACGGCAATGGACAACTACACTATGCACCTCCACAGTGAATGTAGGTGTGGCTCTGGTCATTCCATCACAGACATGGTATGGGACAATTAAAAAAGGGACATGGATACATGGCAGTGGCGAATGAAGGTATGGCATGACCTGTGTTTGGTGGAGATTAAATAGGTAAGAACTCTTTACCTTGTAAAAGGGGTGACTGAAGAGGGAGGGGGGTCTAAAAGGCAGAGGGTCTAAAAAATCAGGAATGGTAAAAAAAGAAGTGAAACGGGGAATGGCTAGTCATTGTTCCTCAACACAAGAGCTAGTAGGCACACAGCAACATTATTAGGTAGCAGGTATAGACTGAACAAATAGGAATGCTCTTTGATGCAATGCATAACTCAGCCACTGAACTCATTACAGTTGGATACTTTCAGCATCAAAATAGAAATGAGGTAAATAATAACTACAGAAATTGAAGAAATAGCCACTAAGCACAAGATCAGGGATACAATTTTTGACCCAGAAACTCTCCTCATAGCTGATTGTCAGAAACTGGAGATTATATCAGGTGAATGCATATTATGTACTTGTATCTGGCTTTCGAGATGCTTTCCCTAGCCATTCTCTGGGGGCAGCTCTTGGAGAAAGGACCTCAGAAGGATTTGATCACACTTGCATGTACTGATTACCGTAGAGTTAGTCAGGATTTACTTTGGTTACTTCTCTGTGCTGGAGGGAGCAGGGTAAGTAGGGTTTAGGTGAGTAACAGGGAGCAGAATTCAGCTCCCATGTTGCTACACAACAATTATAGAGAATTTGGGGGCGGGGGGCCCACCCCCAGCATTGTCCATGCGAAACAGGCATAAACCCAGATGCCTCTTGCTGCAGGCAGAGGAATTACCGCATAATTTGTATTTGTGCAACTGGGAGCAAAATCTGGGCTGAGACCTGGGAGTCGCGGCACCTGGCCACCATCCCCAGCCAGACACCCATCTACTGTGCAGCCTTGGAAAAAGCACCCCACTGTGCCAAGCACTGGCTTCCTGACCCGCTTGGGAGGGGATGAACTTTCCCACCACCGCCTCCAGCTGCCCAGGGAAGCCTCAGGAGCTCGTTCGGGCTGCACCAGGCTGCGTTCGGGCTCCTGCTGGGCACCCGCCTCAGCTCCTGTCTCGAGGCTGCAGTGAAAGCTCAGCAAATCCCAATTCCCGTGAGGGGCTGGAGGAAGAGGTGGTGAAGCCTGCCTGGGCACGGCAGCGGGGGGCCGTTTTTGGAAGGGCTGTCTGAAGTGTGTCAAAGAGCCTGGGTACTGCTGAGCACCGGGAGCTTTCCCCAGTGATGTGACGGGGCTCCTTCTGGGGGATGAAGAGGTGGCAGCGGGGCTTTGCACCTCAGCGGAGGGATAGCCCATGCCTGCAGGGTGGGGTGAAGTGACAAAGTCTACTGTCTGAGAGGGAGGAGGTGAGCGGTCCTCTGCACCTTCCTGCAGAGGAGAAGATCCTGCCAATTTGTCTACAGGGAACTAACACGTGGCAAGCGCTGAGGTCGCTTCGTTTTTCTCCACAGGCCTGATCATCTCCATGTCTGACTAATTCCACTTCCAGCCCTTTGGCTTTAGGTCCTTTACTGCTGGCAAGGCAGGAAGAATCACTTGTGCTCTGAGAGACTCACCATGAACTGCTGGGAACATATCACTGTCACCCAGGGCTCTTCTCCTGCCGTGGCAGCACTGTGGCAAGTTTGGGGATTTCAGGCATCCAATTTCATGAGACTCCTTTTAATTCCCTTCTGAGCCTTGGCGCTTGCAAAATAAATGGCCCACCCGCTGGCTCCAACCAGGCACCACATAGCATCTTGAAATATGTAAGACTTGGGGGGGGTTCCACTGCAATTTTGTGCTGGTGGAGAGCTTGCCTTCTTAGGCTAGCACTTAGCTGACTGTCTGTAGTGTGACTGTCTTAGCTGACTGGCTTCTGACGTTGCTGCTTGACAGGAAGACCTTGGGGAAAAAAAGATGGGAAGGACTGAGGTCAGGAAGTCCAGGAGGTCAGCAAAGTGACCTGCGAGTACATGGGAGATAGAGGTCCCCTTCATATTTCAGAAAAAGCAGAGATCTGTTTCCAAGCCTGTGACTCACAGACTCTGGAGATGATCTCCTGCCTCTAAAATGCTCTGTGCATGTGAACACAAACCTCCAGATCAGCTCAACTTGGGGTCCCCTAACAGTATGGATGGCCCTGCTTTTCTTGAACACTTTTCTGGTCCCTTGAATGCCTGCTGGGAAATGCAGTTGCAGGAGCAGCAGATAGCCTGTGTCACTATGCTGTGCTGTATTTTTAAGGGTATAAAAATACGGGACCTCACAGGTAGTTGTGCCCCTATATTTAACCTCGTGCATTTACACAGGATCAGCCTTTCCCATCGCTTCCACAGTGTTGGTAGTTGAGGTTCCTAAACAGCAGTGCAATAAACCTGATGGCAAAAAGCATGGAGCAGCCACAGCTCCTACTGACTTGATCAAACACTGTAGGTGCTCAGCATCTTTGCAGATGAGGCCCAACACAGCCATAACAGCAGTGGCTTCCTCTCTGTGCCTGTGGTCAGCAGGAGACTTTTAGTCCCTCATGGTTCCTCCAAGCTTCGTCTGAGCTCAGAGCCTGCCTACAGGTGTATCTGACATCAGGAGAGGGATATACATGTTAGCGAGGCTGTTTTGGGGAAGGAGGGGACTGGACAGAATTTGATTTTGGCTTGAGATGCCTTGGAGAAGAACATCTTCTGTACAGAGCTAAATTAAAAGCCTGAGCAAACTGGGCGAGCTTCCCACTCTGAACTGCCTGAAAGCCTCCCTGCTCTTTGAAGGAGGGCTAACTGGGGAGGAAGAGGGAAGCTGTGTTGTCACAGCCCCATGGTAGTGGGCTCTGATTGCGGCACAGATACTGGGAGCAGGAAAAGGCCAGCCAAAATCTCAAACGTGGGTCATCAAATCACCAAAAGGTGGTTGTCATCCTAATTTTTACTGAGAGAGATGCCCTAATCTCCTTTACCCGCTTCCCATGGCCAGGAGCATCCTGTACGCTACGTACCTTTTGTGCTCCTTCACAAATTCAACCAGCTCCTCTTCTGTGTAAGGCTTATCAGGGATGTGAACAGGCTCATCCATAAATGGTTCATAGAAGTCCACCTCGTTCATCTTCAGACCTAGCTTCTTGGCAACCTGTTGCAGTGCAGATGGTCAGAGGTAAGTGAGCCTGACGTGCCTCTTTGCCCACCCAGAATCTCTCGTGGTGGCAGAGCTGAGATCAAGGTGCTTGCTTTTTCTCAGAGCATGCACACTTAGGCATGGCCAACAAAATATGAAGGCATCTTTCCTTGGTTAAAAAAACACTGATGGTCTCCACACTACCGGTCTCAAGCACTGGGGCAGGCCAAAACCAGAGTCAAGATGCTACAAATCTAATGGGCTTCGTTTCCAAACCTAGACCAGTACCTGCCTCCACGCTGCAGCAATGGCCTTTTATCTTGCAAAAGGGCCAAATCCAAATGCGGAAACCACTACCACAAATTACAGGAACACTGAAGATGAGAAGCTGAATCCAGATATAAAATCTGGGAACATCCTGAGCTTCTGAAAAACAGGTGGTGGAGGCTGTGAGCTCCCACGGTGAGGTCCATGGATGCTTACCCCTTTGTCGAAGGTGGCAAAGAACTTGATGTATGGCTGAAAGTGTTCGGCGGCTTCTTCAAATGCCTTGTAATCTGGAAGGAGAAAAGGGGAATGAAGAAAAGAGTTCACAGGCAGCTGGCCACGCTCTGATCAGCACAGAAGGCACTAGGGAAGAACAAACATAAATCACTGCAAAATACATCAGATGATGGCACTATGTTTCTTCCACCTTTCCAGGGCTTACAAACAAGGACCATAACATGTGGAGCAAACAGGACACATGTTGTGCAGCCCCACAGTCCTTAGGAAAACTGCAGATCCTGGCATGCCACGCTTAACTGGAGCCAAAATCAGCAGCCCTGCGAAGCAGGGCCAGGGGTTACAAGTCCAGTTACAAGGTAAGGGTGTTTGCATCTGCCCTGTTGCACAAGCAGTAGTTCAGCCTGGGAAATACACGGGGTTGCTCCAACATTAAC